AAGTTATTATATATTTAAACTTAATAAATAAATATATAATATAATTTTTAATTTTAAACCGAATACTCGCAAGTAGCTTATTAGTAATCATAGAAGCTCGAGCTTGATATTTAACTCGAGCTCGACTCGTTTACCAAATGAGTTGAGCTTTACTCGAGTAACTCACGAGTTACTCACACACTACTCTACTCGTTAATAGCCTTAAGTGGGATATATAGATAGAAGGGAATAGGCCTTCTGTCCGTCTAAAGCCTGATTCTTATGGCAGAATGTGGCAATAGAAAAGGCTGTTAAGACAGACAGATGAACACACAAGAAAATAAAGAAAATAATTAATATATATTATATATAGGAGATGATTCACATCTAATTATTATATGTTATTATGTCAAAAGATTGTTAAAGAGTTACCGTGCTTTCCACCCTCTTGTCTCATATCCTCCACGATGTCTTCATACTCATCATCATCGTTGAGATCATCTACACTTAATGCTTGAGTCAAGCAAACAACCTTGGTGGGCAAACCTTGTAACATGAGCTTCTGGAGACAATAGAGAAGTAAGCCTCCAAATTAGAACTTCCAGATACATTATCCTGTGAAAGTGGGAAAAGGTAAAAATCTACCTGTAAAGCAACTTGCTGTTGTGCATGCTGGAGTACACTCTCTTGCTCAGGTTTAGGTTGGTTAGCACCCTGGTTTGCTCGCCTAACAGTCAAAGTTTTATCACCCATTTTAATTCCATTCAAAGCAAGACAAGCTATGTCCGTAACTGAAACATCTTGATAAACACAAAATGCATAGCCTTTGGAGTTTCCAGTTTCTCTGTCTTTTACGAGATCAAATCCTCGCAGTGGACCAAATGACTCTAACAACTCCCTGATCTGTCCCTCGGCAAAATAATAAGGCAGTCCACCCACAAAAATGCGGTCTGGACCCTCCAACCCTCCAGCAGAACCTGGAGATAGACCAACAGCAGCAAGGTTGAGACTGGGATTGGGCTGGCTTGGACCAAGTGCTGCAGCAAGAGATGGGTTATAGTCACTAGGTCTCCTCACCTTCACAGGTGCTCCCTGGAAATTCTAACAGGTCAATGGAACATAATGTAATTGAATAAAAACTATTGGGTTAAAGGACTTAAGATCCACAGAGAATTAAGCACCTCAAAAATAATCCCATCTAAAGCCATTGCATTACTGGCCTCCTCAACTGACCTCATCTCCACAAAAGCAAACTTCTTTTCATGATTTATGTACACATTAACAACAGCATCACCTGGGAAGCACAGAAGGATGAGTAAGTAAACATACAATGCTAGCGGCCTAATTCTGCAACATTAACCTACCTGGACCAGCAGTGTTCCCTCCAATCAGAGCCATGACCCGGCTAAAGAAGGTAGCAACAGACTGCAGAAGAATATATAAAGGTCAGTTTTCAACACTAAATTCAAAATAGCAACATCATAACCACTACAATTATGGATCAATGATAAAACCTGTTCATTTGCAGTAGGTGGGAGTCCTCCAACATACACTCGGCGAGCATGCCTAGTGGCCTGAAAGAAGAAAAATTACTAACAAAACCTGGTTATAAAAGCAAAATATATGTTCAACTATAATATATGCTTAAGCACACAAACCTGCTGAGTCATAGCCTGAACTGGCATAATAGGAAGGGTGGGAAACTGCTGCATAAGAAGGAGTAGAACAAAATTAAAGCATATAAATCGTCATACAATAAAATATGCATGAAAGAAAATTGCATACCTGGCCAGTTGCTAGTGGGAACATATTAGGAAACATTCCAGGAATGGTTGGGTTAGTACCAGGCATCTGAGCTGAAAATAATTTGGAAATTGATATCAGAATACATTCATAAATTAAAAGGCATCTATAGCAACTGAAGAACCAAAGACATAAGATGCATCACTTCCTGGAGCATGGTCAAACCTTTCGCGTTCTGTTTTATAGAACAAGTTAAACTATCATATACAAGTTCTGGAGGAAGTATTTAGGGCAATAGTTGCCAGTTGAAGATGAACAATACCATCAAATCGGTGCATTTGATTCCTTCTTGTACATAAAGGCTACAGAAGTCGGCTCACGCCATTGCCTTCTTACAATGAAGACAGACACAAACAAACAAACAAACACCAAACACAACACAAAACCAAAACTCTCTCAGTTCCAGAATTATTTCACTAAGTAAAAAATTTTAAATATTATTACAGCCCATCCAGAGACCACAGCTTAAGAAGCTTTATATTCAAAATGTAAGATAAATACTGCTTACCAAAATCACCCAGTATTTTGATAGGAACTTTTCCACACTAGGCCAAGGAAAATAAAAAAAAAAGTAGTAGTTAAACAATTATGCCAATCTAATCTTAAATATATGGATATATGTACCTGCATTGGCAGCAGCACCAGCAACCACCATTGCTGAAGCAGGAGGAGCCAAGTCAAACCCACTCATCCTTTTGCTGCAAGTAAATACTGTTAATATATTGGGACTAAAAAGCCTAAGACAAACTGGGATAGGTGTTAAAAACCAACACATTGTACTTCTACAAGTTTTTAAATTAAACAATTAATAAATGGGGTTTCTCATTAGCATGCTGAAGTAAAGGTGTGTTGCGACAGTCAATAATATTGTATTTCTAACTTTCTACTGAACATGATCGAGGACTTTTAAGTATTGCAGCTCAATCACCCAAGAAATGCAGCTTGATTACCTACCATTTAGCCCAAGCACACATACTAGGAAAAAAATCAGAGAAAGAGAGAGAGAGAGAGAGTAACCAACTGTTATTTATTGTGATTAAATAAAAAACTGGAATGAACTACAAAATATGAAGAGTGAAAGAAGAAAAATTAGGGGGAGGACAGGCAGAATGCCAATATCAATGTACTAAAAGCACAATCCAATTCCTAACACCTTGTCATTTATTACATACCTCTTTGAAAGTGAACGAGAGCGTGACCTTGATCTGCGTTCAGATCTACCCCTTGATTGAGACCGTGAATGGCGCTTATGGCTCTCCTCCCTGTCCCGATCATAATCTCTTCGCCTGCCAGTAAAACATTTAAACAATTGCAACAATTAACACTCACATGAATAAAACCGACCTCATATTTGCTATCATACAAAGGAACCATTTTAGGTTTAGAGAATGCGTAAAATCAGGATGTCCTGGCATTAAAAATGTCAAGACATCCAATCAAAACCAGATAATAGGTGGGATATAATGTAGGTCCCACCTGAGTCTCATCTATCATGCAGTTGGAATTTGATGTCCTGGCCATTTAAATGCCAGGATGTCCTGATTTTTACTTTTCTGTTAGGTTTAGGTTTATTATCCAAGGAGACAAAATATCCCTACAAATAAGTTAATAATTTTTACTTTAGTATCCAAAATATGCACCAATCCAGTCATTTAGGAAATAGAGATAAATTTATTCAAAATTCAAAGCACTAATTGTCCTTTTCAATTCCTTGGACGCATTATTCCATAAACATCAACATGAGACAACTAAGTCTAGTTGAGAAAAATAACTAGGTTAAACTACTCAAGCTCAGATTACCTATCAAAATCTCGGCTTCGATGATTATCATCATCTCTATCCCTTCCCCGCTCCCTTCTCTCACTGCGCTCTCTACTCCTATCCCTGTGGTGATCTCTACGATGGCGGTCACGATCCTTGTCTTGGTCCCTTTCCCTTTCTTTCTCTCTGTCCCTGTCCCTGTCCCGGCGGCGGTCTTTCTCCCTCTCCTTATCACGCTCTTTCTCCTTCTCCCTACTTCTTGAAGAGTCCCTCTTGTAATCACGAGATCCATGCTGCAAATAACAAAGTTACAGCAAATCATGTGTATTAGTTTTATTTAGACAATAGTATAAACAAACCAAGATTTCTGGAAAGGAAATATCAAACACTGACGAAGCAACAGGAAAACAAACATCAAGAAAAAATACGGCCATTGATTTTTGGCGATTCCACAAAATATATGTTTGTTTTGTAATTTAAATTCAATATGGAGAGCCCCGAAAAATACCACAATTTGCATAATTTCAAAAACATAAAAGCTAATCCAAAACAAAAATCCGATCCATAAACATTCCACTCTCAATAACCAGATTCCTGGAAAAAATTGCAGTTTCCAGAACTCTAATACCAAGCCAATTACATGCTAAAGAGAAACAATCTCAAAATTACTTTAGTTAAGCAAAAACATTGAAAAACTAAGATTTAGTAAACAATCTCAATTCAAGAGATCTCATTGAGAGCAACAATCTGTGCACACCTGGAATTTGGAATCGCTCTGATCGTCAGGACCGCCAAAGCTGCTGTCACGAGGCTGAGGAGAGGAACCATCGTCGGCATACTCGTTGTCGGCGTCCTCGCCGTTGCCTTGATACCGTGCTTCGTAATCCGTCATCGTAAAGGTATTCTGCTTTGTTTCACAGTAGTATGTGATCGGGTTTCTATTGCCCCCTTGCTCTCAAGGGAAACAACTTATGCAATGCTAGGATTGAGGAATCTAGGGCTCTGGAATTATTATATCCAACACGTCCCCCAGTAATCAACCTCTATATACTTGTAAAAATAAAAAT